CTTCGGACTGGCACTGCTCCAGCCATTGCAGCCAACTGGGGAGTGAACCACCGGATGGAAGATCAGTCTCTCTGTCTCTCCTTCTCTCTGTGTAACTCTGATTTTCAAATAAATAAATAAACCTTTTTTAAAAAAATAGAGCTCCAGTAGCCAGGGCAGGGAGGGGTAGGGTGGAGGTGGGGGTAGTCAGAGCCAGGCTTGAGGGGTGAGACCTGGGGTGGGAGAGCAAAGAGAGGAGGAGGCACAGTGCTGGGGCGCTGGGAAGGACTGACAGCGGGTGACTGGCACAGCACGTGTATCCCCAACGAAGGAGGCAGTGGGAGGGAAAGCTGTCAGACCTGGGAGAGAGGCAGTGCAGGCAGACCCGAGAGAGAGTGGGGGATCAGGAGAGGAGGCAGGACACTGAGACAGAGAGGGGGTGCTGCCTGCGGGAGTTGTGGGGAGAGAGCTCCTCATGCAGCAGTCGGAGGAAGCAGCCGCAGCAGGGATTTAAGATCCATGAAGCGAGGCAGGAAAGATGCCAAGGGCTCCCCTCTCTTGCCAGATAGAGCTGGAGATGCTGCAGGGGCCCACAGGACCACAGAGCGTGAAGCCACCAATCCGACCAGACCCCCTACTCAGTCCCAGCCACGCGGGGCATCTTGCTGTCCCTGCAACTTGTAGAAGGGACTTCCAACAATCTGTGGAAAAATGAAATCAAAAGATACGCTTATTTCGGCGCAAGAGACTTAGAAATCCGTGCACAGTTTTTGTCATGCAGCTTCCATGAACTTTCTGAAGACTGCCACAGGCCCTTGGCCCATGCTGCCCCCTCTGCCTAGGAGGTCTCCCCCAAGTTAGCTGCATGCCTTGGTCTCCTTGCCAGCCCTGCTCAGGGTCAGCTGCTTGGGTGGGCTTCCCCCAACCCCACCTCCCCTTATCCCATGCAGGCATACCCAGACATTCCAGCTTTATGGTGTCTGATTTTCCTGTAGTTTTATTATTGTCTAATATACTTTTTTTTTTAAATACACCTTTTTAAAAATAGAAGACAGTGGGTTTTTTTGTTAGTTTGTTTTCAGTTTTATTTATTTGAAAGGCAGGGAGAAAGAATCTTCCTTCACTCTCTGGTTCACTCCCCAAATGCCAGCGAAGCCAGAGTTAGATCCTACAGAAGCCAGCAGCTCCATGTGGGTCTCCCAAGTACCATCACCTGTGCCTTAGCAGGAAGCTGGATCTGAACGGGGAGCGGGGAGCCCAAGCAGCCCCTAGATGGCTGGGCAGTTAGTGCAGAGCCTGAAACCGAGCCCACGGCCGCCGGTTCCAAGTCCCGGGCTTGCTCTCCAAGGTGGGACGTGTTCGCTTCCTCGGGGCGGCGACACCGGAACTCGCCGAGGGAGAGCAGGAATTTCTGAAATCCAGGCCCGGGCTCGGTAATAGGTACCTTCGCGGCCGCCGGCGGAACCGCCCGGCCCTAAATCACGGCCGCCGCCCCTGCGCGCCCAGCGCGGCTCGCGGGCGAGGGCGGACCCCGCCGCCGCAGGTGCCGCGGAAATGCCTGCGCGCTCGCCTTTGAAGTGGGGCGGCGCCCCCCCCCCCAGCCGGCGGGCACGCGCGGGGCCCGGCTATTCGTCCCGGAGTTTTGAATCTGGGGTCGTGGCCGATTCCTGTCCTGCGCAGGGCAGGGCGCGGGAGCCCGGGAGGAAGAGCCCGCCGCGGACTGAGTGGGAGGCTGGGCCGGGGCCAGCACCGGACACCTCCTCGTGAGGTTGATTTGAGGGCTCCTGTGAGGGGCTCGGCGCAAAAAAAACGTGCGGCTCAATTTCACTTTGTTCCCACGGATTTTCTATTCCTGTCGTTCCTTCTGAGCCCCACAGCTGTCCACTTCCCTTCTGCCCGAGGCATGGCTGGGGATGGAAAGCTAGTTGGCAGCAAGGAAACAGTACCCCAGAATTACCCTGAAATGACAGTAGGCGGGGCCTCAGGTATTTAACCCGCAATGGTGTTTTGCACGCAGGCTAAAATGTCATTGAGCTAGGCTGCAGATGAACAAAACCAAACCAGCAGGGGCTGCAAAATGTTCCTGCACAAACAGAATTCAAAAACAACTTGCATTTGGGGGCAGGGTTTAGCCTCATGTTTGAGACGCTAGGGTTCGGAGTGTCTGGGCTGGACGCCTGGCTCCAGCTCCTGACTCCAAGTGCCTGCTAATGCAGACCTGGGAGGAGAGGTGATGGATGATTCGAGTAACTGGGTTCCTGCCACCCACTTGGGAGACCCAGATGGAGTTCCAGAGGGAGACCTGGATTGAGTTCCTGGCTCCCACTTCTGCCCAGCCCAGTCTGGGCCTTTATGGGCCTTTGGGGAGTGAACCAGCACATGGGAGCTCTCAGTTCCTACGTCTCTCTTAAAAGAAAGATAATATGATTTCCTAGGAATGCTCTGCAGACCACGCCCCCACCGTGTGTGGGTGAGTGCATGTGCACCGTCTGTCTTTGTGGGCATTCAAACCATTAAGACAGGCTTGGATCAGCAGAGCTGGTGTGAGCTCAAGAAGTTCTTGCCTGATGCTGCTGCCCCTAAGACCACAGCTTTGAGACAATGACCGGGTTTCCCCCAGCTGATGGCGTGGCTGGGGAATACCGAAGCATCTCTAGTTTGGCTGCAGGCTTTACCTCCTTCTATTTGAATACCGGCTTCATCCATGCGTCTGCGGTCCCGCACCAGGCACTGTGCTAGGTCCAGAGGTGACGCAGGGCTCTGGCAGGGACATGCAAGTGCCACATGCCCCAAGCTGAAGCAGAGACGTGGAGGAGCCGTGTCGTGGTGCAGCCAGTTAAGGTGCCGCTTGTGACCCTGGCATCCCATATCCGGGTGCGGGGTTGAGTCCTGGCTGCTCGGCTTCAGAGCCAGCGTTCCTGCTGAGTGCCTGGGAAGGCAGCCGACGTTGGCCCAAGCGCTTAGGCCCTTTCCACTCATGTGGGAGACCGGGATGGAGTTCTTGGCTCCTGGCTTCGGTCTGGCACAGAGATGGCTGTTGTGGCCGCTTAGGGGCGTGAACCAGCAAATGTTCCTCCCCTACCCCCCTGTTCTGTGTTTTAAATCAGTAAATAATCTTGCCTCAGGGCGAGCTTCACAGAGGAGAGGTGACAAGCAGCTGAGGCTGGGACCCACCTGAACTCAATCCTGGACTCCAGCGGAGATGGGCCTGGCACCTGCCCAGCAGTTGCAGCTGATCCCGAATCCCCTAAGAGCCTCCTGGCCTCGGGTGGCCTTGCTCACCTGCTAAGAGGCCAGAGGCTGGGCACTGCCCGTCACTTCTGCTCTCCAGTGCTTTCCTAGGGGCCCAGAGGTCATCACTTCCAGCCAGGGTCAGACTTGGAGCCCCTAGGTGGTGAGTCTCAGTTCCAGGAGGCTGGCACGTGGCTGCTCGGGCCCCCTCCTCCATCTCCACCCACCCCTGCCTCCCAGATTTGCCACCAATCAGCCCTCTGTATTTCTCACGCCTGGCTGAAACTACCTAACCATCTTGATGTGTTTGTCTCCCAGGGCAGATGCCAGGCCTCTAGTAGCTGCAGGTGCGCTCAGCAGGGGCTTTGGGCACTGAAAATGCAGGCTCAGGCCAGAGGGGCTCCCCAGGGGATTTAGAATCCTGGCCCAGTCACAGCTCACCCCTCTGCCTTGGGGCAAGTCATTCAGCTCTGAGTCTCAGTTTCCGGCCTGTAAAATGGGTATTACAGCAATGGGCCTTGCAGCTTGGGCTGGTGTGAGGCTAAGCTAAGGCATGCTTACAGCACTCAGGAGGAGCCAGCACCCGTACTATTAAGGTCGCTATTGCTAAGTGGCATCGTGCCGGCGCTGGATCCCGGAGTGCTGGGTCCTTGGAAGCAGCCTGCCCATCCCCCACAGGCACCCTCCCCACACCCTTGGTGAGGCTGCCCCGGAGGTCACCGCGGAAGGAAGACTTCCTTGGACAGGTCACCTCCACCCTCCTGTGGAGATGGGGGTGCTCTGGGCTTGCCCATCTACTGCCTCCTGCTCCTGGGCCAGGGGCTCCCTGGAAACCCCCCCCTGCCTGTGAGGGTGCTCCCCTGGGTGGAGAGGGGCAGCATTTTGTGAGGTCTCCAGCCACTGGGGCCATCTGGGGAGTGAACCAGAGGATGGAAGACCTCCCTCTCTCTCTGCTTCTCTCTCTCTGTAACTCTGCCTTTCAAATAAGTAAATAAATATTTTTTTAAAAAATGACAATAACACAAGTAAACACACTGATTCTGTTCCCTAGTGCCCTGTTCTTTTCCTCTACAGAGAAATCCACAGGATGAAACAAAGGGGTTATGGTCGTGCTGTTTTGGGAGAGGGATGTGAACTGTGTGCCCATGCCGGCTGCTGTCACAATGGGCGGTGGCGTTTGGAGGTATCTGGATGGTGGCCGAGACAGCTGGACCCAGGGTGCTCCAAATAATGCACCCCTGGGTTCCTGACGTTCCACTGGGGTCTGTCTCTCCCAGTCAGCCCTGTTCTCCCCGAGACTCAAATTCAACTCCCAGGCAGGGCCACGGGGAAGTTGTTTTCTGAGTTCCAAGTGCTATGTGGGGAGATAGGGCGGCCCCAGAGTCCCTGACACCAACATACCCCCCCCCCCCCCGGCCCCACTCCAGCCCTGCTCTGCTTGCAAAAGGAGAGCCAAAGGGAAGGAGTGGGAGTCAGGGCCGGTGAAGACCGAGACCCAAACCCAGACCCAAACCCAGCCAGCCTCCCTCTGGTAGCCAAAAAGGGCCCCAAGCTCCGTGTTGGCCTTCCCTGGCAGCCCAGCTGAGCCCCATCTGCCCCCCCCCCAATCCTGCCCCGACGCTCACCCCCATCCCCGGGGGGCACCTCAGGGGCCGACCCAGGACGGGGTTTTTTTTGGGTTTTTCCCAGCCCCCAATTTGAGACCCTGGAAGTTAGCCAGCCAGCCCCCCCCCCCCCCCCCCCGCCACTGTCAGCGGCCCAGGAGTGAGGCAGCACCGGTTCCCCCTGGCTTGGCGGCTGGAGCACTGCCCCAGGCGTGGCTGGGCTGCCCCGTTGGTCCCCATGCAAGAATCTGCACGCTTTCTTCCTCGCTTCCTTCCTCCCGTTCCTCCCTCACCAGCCTACCTGGGGGCAGGTAATAAAGCAGGCGCAGGGAGACGGATGGGGAGGGCGGGGAACCACGTGGGGCCATAAAGCCCAGCGGCAGAGGGCCGGTCCCGGGAGTGTCCAGCCTGCAGGAGCCGCGGCGCGCAGAGGCTGGCCCGTGGGCCTGGCGAGCCAGAGCTGGAGCCGGAGCCAAGAGCAGCCGGGCCCGGGAGAAGGCCATGCTCCGAGGTGCGCCAGGACTAGGCCTCAGGGGCCTGAAGGGAGCTGAGGGCTCTGTGGAGGGCTCTTACCCAGAGACCGGCAGGAATTTTGGGGTGCTGAGGGAGAACGGCGCCCCACGCAGCCTGGGTGACGCAGAGGAGGCGACGGGCCGAAAGCGCGCACGACCGGCGCGGTCCAAGGCGCGGCGCATGGCGGCCAACGTGCGAGAGCGCAAGCGCATCCTGGACTACAACGAGGCCTTCAACGCTCTGCGCCGCGCGCTGCGCCACGACCTGGGCGGCAAGAGGCTCTCCAAGATCGCCACGCTGCGCAGGGCCATCCACCGCATCGCCGCGCTCTCGCTAGTGCTGCGCGCCAGCCCCGCACCCCGCTGGCCCTGCGGCCACCGGGAGTGCCACGGCCAGGCCGCTCGCGCCGCCGGGAGCGCAGGGGACGCGGGTGCAAGCCCTCCGCGGCCCGTGTCGCCGCCCGCAGGGCTCGGCCTGACTCGCTGGGACGCCGTCGGCACCTTCGTGCCGCCCGCACCGCGCTGCGCCTCGTGCATCCCGCACGCGCAGCTGGGACGGCCCCGCACCGTGGTCCAGGCGCCCGGCCTGGCCCAGGCTTCCGGGGGAGGCTGGCGCCGGTGCCCGGGGGCTCCCTCTACCGGGTCGCTTCCCTGGCCGCGAGACCACCTGCCAGCGGGCCCAGGGCTGGGCTACCAGCCCTCTTGACCCTGGCGGAGCGCGCCCGCGGGCCTGCAGGGAGGCCAGGCGGCCCCATGCCAGCGACAGAGGAGGCGAGCACACCGCCCTGGACAGAGCCCATCAGAATGGGCTGGGACCCGAGAGGGAAGGACTCTGGGATCCGGGGCCGCTCGGGGGGAAGGCAGCAGGACCTTGCTCAGCTCTTCTGCCTGGACTTGCTGGACTCCTCCTGCGCGGAGGCCTTTGCGATCCTGGGCGGTCATCCCTGTTTTCTCTGGCGGCTGTTAGGAGAGCCAGGGCTGTTGGACTGAGGACTGCTGGGTGGGAGTGTGGGTGGGCGCCCGGCGCGGTTTGATGGCAGCCTGTGGGGTCCTCGCGCCCCCTGCCTGTGCCGCTCCCCCGGGGTCTGATCCAGGAGAGGCCGCTGGGAGCAGCCAAATAAAAGGGAAAACTCTATTTGTCTGCTACCAGGCTCCGCGGGACCCTGAGGCCCAGCGAGGCAGGACAGGCCGCTGGCCCTTGCTTGCTCAGCTTGGAATGCTGGGCCCAGCCTGCACCCTGCAGGAGGCAGCTGGGGCGCTGGTTCAGGCCGCAGAGGGGAATGGCGCCACCTCCCTGCAGAGCTGCTGTGTGTGGGAGCCCCAGTGAGGGCTGCCGGGAGGGGAGTCTGGACCAGGCTCTGGGAGGCTGGATCAAGGGTTGGGGTCACTCAGTCCTGCTAGACTGGGCCAGGGTCCCTGTAAAGAGGAACAGGCTCACTGGGGGAGGATGCCGCAGGGGGAGGGCGTGGAGGCACAGCCATCTCCCTGTCCCTGAGAATTCTGGGGGGCTGCCCTGACGCTCAGATGAGCTGGTGCCCGGCCTGGCTCAGGCAGACAGGAGCAACGTGGCAGGTGCTGCTTTCGGGGACAAGGACCCACGTGTGCCAGGGTGTGGCCAAGGGCTTTCTGATCTCCTGGGAGAGCTGGGCTCTTGCCAGTCGAGGGGAGGGTCCCACACAGCCAGCTGAGAACGGGGGTCCCCACAGAAGCCTTTAGACCAGGGCGGAGTGAGGCCTCCCCCGGCAGGCGAGGCAGGACTCAGGCCTTAATTAAAGGTGCCTGTGCTCTGGGCAAGCCCTGACACCGGCTGGCACCCTTGGCGTGCACACGAAGGCCAGGAGCAGAATGTGGGGCTGTGGCCCCAGCCCGGCCCACCGAGCCTGACAGTGAAAGGGCCAGACTGATCCAGCCCCTGCCCCCAACAAGGATGAGGATTCCCCCTGAGGGGGGCGGGGAGGGGGTCGCATTGATTAGGGTTGCTGCAGCATTGTCTGAGCCCCAGGTGTTTACTCCCTGGAAACCTAAAGGGATCAGTGTTCTGTTTGCCTGAGTTCCAGGATCCAACAACATATGGGTTCTGGCCCAGACCCCCTCTGAGCCCAGGACCAGCGAGGGCATCCCTGGCAGACGGAGGCCTGATGAACTCAGCAGGCGGACGTAACTCGGCAGCTGAGTGCCCTTGGGCAGTTCACCTAGGCTCTTTGAGCCTTGATGTTCCCATCCATAGGTTGGAACAAAATAAGTACTTCCACGACGGGCTGTTGTGCAGACTGAGTGCGATAATGCATTTGAAACACTTAGGACAGTGCCCAGTCTATGTGGGCACTTGCTGAGTGGAAGCTATTAAGGCGTAGTCTAGTCACCAAGTTGTCATTAGGAGACAATGCATGGGAAGGTGTTTTATAAATTGTAATGTTTGCAATACGGTAGTAATTAAGGTTTTATAAGGGCTATGCATTTGGGGACACACATCCGGAATCAGACGATCCTTGATTTTTGATGGGGTCACTTTTTGATAAATCCATCATTAAGTTGAAATATTGTACATTTAAATTGCATTTGCTGACTATATCCCACCGAGCATTGCAGGTGCCAGTGGCTTCCCCTCGTGATCACGTGGCTGCCTGGGCTGCAGCTCAGGCCGGATGAGAGGTGGCTGTGCTGCACATAGCCCGGAAAAGCCCCAAACTCCAAATTGGGAGTCTTATTTCTTAGGAGTGTGGAGAACTGCACCATTGTAGAGTCGGAGGCTGTCCGTGTGTGCTCCAAGATAGTGTTTGTCTAGCATTCTGAGCTGTTTTGACCTGCCCATATGAGGTGCATGCTTCTACGGGTGTGTAGATGTCACAGGACCCTAACAGATAGCCCTTGGTCTCCCTGGTTCCCCGATGCTTTAGGGACTGCCAGGCCACAATAGCCTGAGTCATGACCCTTGTCTTCCAGGTTTCTTCCCTGCCCCAAAGGACCCCTGTGTGCAAACCCCCTTCTCCCCACTAACCCCTAACCTCTCTCAGCATCCCTCATGCTTAGGGTCCATGGTGAGCAGAGAAGGAGTTAGTGTCAGAGTGGACACGGCCTGGGCACTGGCTTGGTGCTTTCTTCCTGTGGGCCATACAGCCTGGCTTGGTCCTGGGCTAGGGAGCCGGGAGTACATCTGCCCCTTCCAGAGTTCACAGCCCTGCGGGAAAGAGCCAAAGAGAAAGGCCTACCATCTCCAATCCCCTGTGTCCATGGCAGACAGCAGCAAAGCCAGCCAGCTGCGGGGCAGCAAGGTGAAGCCCTGTCTAGCTAGGTGGGCTCCCTCTCAGCCCCCTGACCCCTGCCACCAATCCCCGCCCATTCAGGCCATTCACAGCAACACGGCCCTTCCGCAGGCTTCCGCTGGCTTGCTTTCGGCAGGAGACTGGCTCAGGTTTCCCAGATCTTCTTAAATCCTGATTTTCATGTTAAATGAACTTTTAAAAAACATGTATTGGGGCTGGTTTTGTGGCACAGGGGCTTAAGCGGCCGCCTGCAACACTGCAATCCCATTCCTGCGATGGTTGGAGTCCCAGCTGCTCCAGTTCCCATCCAAGTCCCTGCTGACCTACCTGGGAAAGAAGCTGAGATGGCCAAGTGCTTGGCCCCTGTCACTCGGATGGGAGACCCAGATGGAGCTCCTGGCTCCTGGCTTCTGACTGTGAGTGAACCAGCAGATGCGCTCTCTCTCCCTCCCTCTCTGTAACTGCTTTTCAAGTAAATTAATTAGTTAATCTAAAAATACACTCCACATTTATGGTGTCAACACTGAGCCAACCAAACCCACCCAGCAGGATGAATACTGTGGCGGGTCTGTGTGCGTGACCTAGATGGGGAACAGGAGCCCTGGCTGGGTTGGGCTCACCAGCCTCGCCTGCGTCTCCCTCCTTCCCCACTAGGTGGCGGTGCAAAACCAGCATTTTGGCAGAGCAAATCTGGGTCCCTAACCCCAGCCCATAGAGGCAACCTCCCTCCCACTTACTACTCCGGGGACTTCTTGGATTTTTTGTTTCTCTTTTTATTAAGTCAACAAAACCTGTTTATGTCTGGTTTGTTCTTTCTCGTCAGCGTGCTGTGGTCTTCAGACCATTTGTAAAGAATGTGCATTATCTTAGTTCCATGAACCTCCTAAAACGTGAGTCACGTTTTTCCTTTTGAATTTTCTACTAACTGCCCTTTTTTGAGCTTTAAAAGAAACAGTTGAGATTAATTTCAATGATGTTTTATCTAGCCCAATAGATCTCAAATGCTATCCTCTTATGATACCATCCCTATAAAAGTGGGAACGAGATGTATAGCATTCTGTCTTTTGGTACCAAGTCTTCCAACTCCTGTGTGTTTTACACTGGACAGCACATCACACCTGCGTGAACTATACTTCAAGGGCTCCACAGCCATGTGTGGCTGAGGCTACAGAATTGGCCCCAGTACCTGTTTAGCTCCAGAGAAGACTTGAGCCCCTCCTGCCTGGGGTCAGCTCCTAGGTGGCAAGGTGGAGTTCTGTCCAGCCTGGAACCCAGGGGACTTGGGGACTGGACTTGTCATGCTCGGAGGGGTTTCCTTGTTTATAAAGGCTGTGATGTATTTCAAACAGCCTGCATCCTGACCCTGGATTGAAAATTACTTTATGCACATGCCTCACCCTGATAAAACGAGAGGAGAGAGGTGAGAGGTGCAGAGAGCAAGAGATGCTGAGAAGAGAGAAGGAGGTGGAAACGGGGGACGGAGAGAATCAGAGCGCACAGGCAGGTCCTACGGAGGCGCCTGCCCCCTGGAGCAGCCGATCGGGGGCTCTTGGCTGCCGGTCTTCAGCCTGGGGAAAAGCTCTAATGGGCATGAAGTGGGACTAACACTTCCTGGGGCCACTTCCCCACCTGCTGCTGAGCTGCTTGCAAACTCAGTCCCAGGGCCCTGTTGGTCCAGGCAGGTTCTCCAGAGGCCACACAGGTGCCCATGTCCCCCTTCCCTCCTGGAGCCGGGGCCCTGGGTACCTCTAGGGGCTGGGACCAGAGTCTGAGTGGGACGAGATAGCCCCAGGGCCGGGAGCACAGGGTCTCGCCACGGAAGAGAAGCCGCTTGAGCAGAGTCCCCGGGGACAGCTGCTGACACAGCCCCATGGGACCCACCGGGTTTTTTTCCCATCCAGAACCCCCCAGCCCAGAGGGGCAGATCTTGGGGCTGCGATGGAAACCAGAGACCGGCCTGAGTCCCTGTGGGCTGGGCTGGGCTGGGGCAGAATGCGCTGGGGTGGCTCTCTGGGGAAGGGGGGAATTGAAAAGGAAGTGCGTCTCTGAGGAGGGTGGAGAGGGAGGGAGGCTGTGTGGAGCACACGCGCGTACACACACACACACACAGCGCCCTGCTCTCGCCTAAGCCTCACTGGGAAGAGGCGCATTCTCCTCTCCGCTCTGCTCTCCGTTGCTTCCCCGCCCATCTGTGCCGTCAGCAGCGCCAGCAAAGTTGGCCTCGAACTTGAACGGAGCTGAAGGCTCCGGCTTCCCGCGAGCTCTGCCAGGACAGCTGCAGGCCGCAGCCTCTGACCTCAGCTGGCCTTGAGAAACCCACCAGAGCCCGCTCCACGCCCAGCTGGCCCCCGGGGGCTCCTTAAGGCATGCGTCTGCCCCGGCCCTGAAGCCCCCGTGCTGGCCTGGGTATGGTGTGCTGACGTCCCTCTAGAACCCCTCGTCTGCACCAGCAGCCGGAGCAGCCCAAGGCCCAGCCAGCATGGCCAACCCCGTGCAGCCTCAGTTTCCCCTGGTGCAGGAGGCGGGCTCCACCTCACCCTTGGAGCTGCCGGAGATGGAGAAGCTCCTCACCAAGGTGGCGGACAAGGACGACAAGGCCCTGGGTCTGTCCAGGTCCCTCTCGGGGGCTCTGGACTTGGAGAATGGCCACAGCCTGCCCTTCAAGGTGATCTCGGAGAGGCACCGGGAGGCCTCCCTGCCCCGCTCCCCTTCCCGGGCCAGCTCCCGGCGGGCATCCTCCATCGCCACCACCTCCTACGCCCAGGACCAAGAAGTCCCCAAAGATTACCTCATCCTCGCCATCGCCTCCTGCTTCTGCCCGGTCTGGCCCCTCAACCTCATCCCGCTTATCTTTTCTATCATGGTAAGCACTGTTCCTTGTTCCGGGGGCAAGGGCTGGCCTGGGGTGGGCGGCACCGACCTCACTGCCCAGGGTGCAGAGGAGAGAGCCGGGTGCTGGGTGCTTGGGAGAAGACTCGCTTTCTCGGCTGTCCTCCTGCTTCCCCTTGGAGACGGGGGCCGGGGGCCCAGAGAGCTTCTGTCTGCTCTCCTCGTGGCTCCCTGTGCCTGGCAGTCACAGCATGACTTGCACCTGCTCCTGCTGGGGTAAAGGGACCCAGGAGACCCCCGGCACGACATCCTGCAGGGCACCAAGCCAACCTGGGGTCTGCCTGCTTGTGAGGTGGGGTGGCTTCTCAGAGAGTCATTCCTAGGAGTCGGCAGAGGCTGCTTCCAAAAGGGGGTCCCAGGAGGGGAGCGGGGCCTCCCGGGCCACCTGGGCATTCTACCAGCCTCTGGTTTCCAGGAGCTGACAGCGGCTTCCCTGCTGTGCGCCGAGGGCCGGGCGTGGCTCCCTTGGGGCACCCGAGGAGTCTGCAGGCTGCTCCTGGGGGAAGGAGTATGTGGGGGTTGGGGGGTGGTTCTTGCTGGCACCCCTGACCTTGGTGGTTGTGCTGACTCCAGGGTGTCTTCAAGGCAGGGGAGACACTTTTTCCCAATGTTAGAGTCAAGGGCGCGGTCAGCCTTGCCAAGGGGGCTGTGTGGCTCAGTCTGCCCCTTTGTTGCGTTCGAGTGAATTGTCCCCAGACCATGCCATCTGGCTGGAGACACTTTCAGGGGGCCTCACAGCAAATGTTGGTGACTTCTGAGAAAGGAGAGACACTGAAAGACTGGGGATGGCAATGACTTTGGGAATGAGGTTTGGAGCAGGTAGGCATGACCTGCTGGCCCCAGGCTGGTCAGGGCCAGGCCATGGGGTTGGGGGACATTGCCTGCTTCCCACTAAGCGGCCCCACTGCTGATTCAGCCACTGCCCAGCCCCTGGAGCAGTGGTTGTCCCACAGCGTGTCCCCCTGGGAAAGCTCATTTTTCCTCAAACATCTCTGTCTGCTTCATTGAGGACTGGTGTCCCGTGGGAAAGTGTGCCCTGTCCCCAGCAAATCCAGGGCCGCTTGCCAGGACTTCAGGGGGCGCGGGCAGCAGTCCTGACTCCCTGGGACTTGGCGTGGGCTCCAAAGCCAGGGTGGGGCAGGGCCCAGGGCAGGAGCTTCTTGTGCTGCCCACTGCACCCAGGGACAGCTGGGCGGGGGGAGGGGGCAGAGCCAGGCCCCAGGGTGCAGCCAGTGGTTCTGGACGGGCGGCCAGGAGGGGAGGCAGGCCCTGGGGAGGGAAGGCACAGGCGGGCTCAGGAGAAAACAGTTACTGGAATCCATGGTGTGGGCGGGAGGTGGGGGCAGACTGGGAAGGAGTTGCCTTTGTCGTGGGCCTGAGACTGGGAGAACACCACACCTCCCACCCCCACCCCCCAGTGCAATTCCACAGCCTTCCCAGGCTCCTGACGGTTGCTGGGCTGGGCACAGGGAGAGCAGTGGCCAGGCCGGACCCCACCCCCAGTTCCCATGAGCCTTCAGAGTGTGAACAGGCTCTTACAAGATATTCTAAGAAGTGCCCATGCTACAGGCAACCACAAGGGAATAATGGTGGCCTTGGGCAAGTGACTCAGGTCTCTCTTCTCAGTATTACTGTCTGCAAAATGGGTATGACCATCATGCCTACATTAGAAGGTTGTGAGAGCGTGAGAAGACATGAGCCACACATAGCACTTGAGAACACCGTTCGGCACTGCCTGGGTGCTGCTCCCCCCTCTCAGTCACTGGGCAGCGCTGGGAGTCTCCCCAGTGGGCCATGGGGTCACTGTAGGTCTTTCTGAACAACTTAACTGAGTTCTAAGCCATGCACCATAGAGTTCACCCAGATACAGTGTACACTTGTTTTCAGGACACTCAGACACATGCGACCTGACCCCAGTCCATCTTAGAACATTTGCTTCCTCTCCCGAAGAGACCCTGGCCCCTTTACCTGTTCCTCCTCCTGCCCCCAACCCCCCAGCCCTGAATCCCTCAGTCTCTAGGGCTTGGAGCCCAGAGGAGGGTATCAGATTTCTGTCTTGGGAGCCCAGCTTGGTGCAGGTGACATGGAGGGGCTGATGGGGCTGGGACTGACCATCAGAGAGGGGCCTCCTGGACGGGAGGTCTGGACCAGGTCACGGCGAGCACAGAGGGGGCTTCTGGAACCTTGTTAGAGTTTTTCACTCATCTTCCAGGTGTCGTGAATGGCAGGCTGTCCTTCTGAGGGATGAGAGGTAGAGGGTGACGAGGCCCGTGTAAGTGAGAACGCTTCTCTCCGACCTGGCACTCAAGGCGCTGATAGATGAGAGGTGTGGATGATGTGCCTGGCTGGGCGGGCAGAAGGTGGGGGTCTGGAACGGGGAGGGAGGGAGGGAGGCGGCTCCCTCCAGGAAGCTAAGTCCTATGCTAGCAGCTCTGAGAAGCCCTCAAAGGCGTGAGCAGACTCAAGATGGAGGAAGTTTGTGTTCTAGAACCAGAGTCGGCGTGGGCATGTGGCCTGGTGGTGGAGCCACAGGGGACCAAAACATCCCATATCAGAGCATCTGGTTCCCTTACCAGCTCCTGAGTCCAGCTTCTGGCTAACGCAGACCCCAGGAGGCAGTGGTGATGGCTCAAATGGTTGGGTCCCATGTGAGAGGTCTGGATTGAGTTCCTAGCTCCTGGTTGTGGCCTGGCACAGACTTGGCCACTGTGGGCATTTGGGGAGTGAACTAGTGGAGGGCAGCTCTCTGTCTCTGTCCCTCAAATAATAAAAATAATTTAAAAAAATCCTCCATCAGCTGGCACCGCGGCTCACTAGGCTAATCCTCCGCCTAGCGGCGCTGGCACACCGGGTTATAGTCCCGGTTGGGGTGCCGGATTCTGTCCCGGTTGCCCCTCTTCCAGGCCAGCTCTCTGCTGTGGCCAGGGAGTGCAGTGGAGGATGGCCCAGGTGCTTGGGCCCTGCACCCCATGGGAGACCAGGAGAAGCACCTGGCTCCTGGCTCCTGCCATCAGATCAGCGCGGTGGCCGCAGCGCGCCAGCCTTGGCGGCCATTGGAGAGTGAACCAATGGCAAAGGAAGACCTTTCTCTCTGTCTCTCTCTCTCACTGTCCACTCTGCCTGTCAAAAAATTAAAAAAAAAAAATCCTCCATCACATTGTAGGAAATGGTCTAGAACAGGAAGACCGCAGGGGTGGTTCAGGTCTGAACCCAGCAATGGGCTCGGAAGGCAGGGCACTGCCAGGGGCTGTGTGTGTGTGGGGGGCGGGACTGAGCTGGCCTCGGGCTCCCGGCTGTCCACGGTGCTCCAGGGCGGTCAGCAGGAAGTGGGCAGAGAAGGGTTCTCGATGTGAGATTTGAGGAGGGTCTGAGTAAGCAGGGAGAAGTCAGGGGCTGGAGAGAGGGTGGTGGTGTGCCCTGGCTTGGCCACTCGTACAGTCCTGGTCCCGTAGGAACATAGAGGCCCAGGCATGAGGGTCCCTGAAGAGGAGGAGATGATGTCTGGGAGTGAGAAGGGTCTGTTCCTGGGTAGAGGCAGGCAGGCAATGTAGTGGAGCTGTTTGGCCTGCATGCCCCTGAGCAAGGGCAGGGCAGGGTCAGAGACACAGGGGCTGGCGGCGGAGGGGGGAACAGGCAGGTCAGGGGTAGTCCACAGCCTGTGTGATGCTGGGAGTGCCACCCCTGGAGCTGCGGTTGGCACACATGGGTGCCGGCTCAACCAGGACAGGGCCGCAGTGAGAGCAGGACCAGGTGGTCCAGAAGACACTGGTGAGGGCAGCTGAGGGGCTGTGCCAAAGGCCTGGGCTGGACTGGGGCGGGGGCGGGGACTGAGCCCGGGGAGGTGGTCACAGCCGGGGCTCAGGGAATCCTAGGGCAGGTGGAGCATGAGGGGGAGACTAAGATGCTGGAGAAGAACTTTCCGAGGAGGAGCCGCGTGGGGCGATGGCAAGGGCTGGGGTACAGCTGTGGAGGTGAGTTTCTAAAGGGGACTTCAGGGCCCAGGAGAAGGAAACGGTGGAGCACCCAGGGCGTGCAGTGTGGAGGGCCCGCGGGTCCACGTTGCTAACCATCACCAAGCGCCTGCCACGTGTGAGGCCCAGGATTTTTTTGCCCGAATTTCTCATCTAGTCCTGAAGGAGCACGCATGGATCTGGGCATTGTTGTCACCTGCATTTTCCAGCTAAAAACAAAAAACAAACAAACCTGAAGCACGAACAATGAAGCACTGAACAGAGTCTGGTGCGTAGTAAGTGCCTAAGAAGCGGAAGGGGCTGCTGTCGCTATCATTAGCACGAAGCGGAAGTTTGCGATGTCAGAGGGAGGGGTGAGTCCCCAGTTCCGTTTGGGGTCGTCGAGTCCCACCTCTCAGGGCGCCCCCTGGGTGTAGTGGGCGGGTAGGGGACTCGGAGCGGCACGTTGTTCCAACAGTATGTGGGAATGCTTAGAGATCAGAGCGGCTTTGACGCGTCCTGCCCTAGGTGTTTTTGGATGGCCTGATTATGTAACAGATGTGGTGAAGAGCGTGCGTTTTTGTCGCACTCCCGTTCATTTACATGTCCTCTCACTCAGCAGGTGCCAGGTCCCAGCCAGCGGCATCTGCTGCAAACTTTGGTGTCTCTGGGGATCGAAGGCGCACAGGTGTCTGAGGTGTGAGGACGCAGCCCTGTGCATAAAGGAGAGAGTGGACTTGGACTTTCTTTCCCTCTCCCCTCCCTGCTCTCACAGCCAAGTCAGTGTGCCTCTCTCCATGGTCCTGAATCATCACGGTACCTGGCAGGTGTGGGGAGGCCCCATCCAAATCCTGCTCCTCCCCCTGCACGTCTAGCTCACAGCCGAGGGTCCCCGGGGGGACTGATTCAAGGCAGCCCCAGAATGGTCGAGAGCTGAACTTGTGAGAAACCCCTGAAGGCTTTCTCTTTTTGTACCCTCTTCCTCCTGATGCCTAGTCATTGATTTCCTGAGTTCCGTGCCCCAGGCTGGCGATGCAGGGAGCTGGAGGTGGTGTCCGATAGTGGGTGGGCAAACCCGCATGCCAGGTATATTTCCAGTGGAGCCCACTGCCCTTATTTCTTTGCTGAGTCTTCTGTGAGCTGTAACTTTCCACTGGCTAAAGCAGTGTCTCTTCTCATCCCCCCCCCCCCCCCCCGCCTTTTTCTTCTCTTCTCCCTCAAGCATGTATCGAGAACCTGCTGAGGCCTGGCCCCAGGTTAATGTGGGGGATACCAAGATGGGGGTGCATGGTCCCTGCCCTCAGGAGGTTCCTGTCTAGGGAAGGAGAGTGAAATAGGAGAAACAATGACGGGGGGGCATTCGGTCAAGTGCAGCAGCTTAAGTCACTGCTTGTGACGCAAACATTCCATATTGGGGTGCCTGGTCTGAGTGCCCGTTACTTTGCTTCCAATGCAGTTTCTGGCTAATGCACACCCTGGGAGGCAGCAGGTGATGGCTCAAGTACTTGGGCCCCTGCCACCCACATGGGAGACCTGGGTGGAGTTCCTGACTGCTGGCTTCAGTCCAGCTTTGGCTATTGTGGGCGTCTGGGGAGTGAGACAATGGATGGAAGATTTCTCTCTCTCTTCTCTCTGCCTTTCAAATAAAAATAAAAAAAGGAGAAGGAAACAATGACACAAAGTGGTAAGGGAGCAGGGGGTTGACTAGTTGCTATGGGAACCCAGGGAGGTTCTTCCGCAGGTGACTGTTGAGGGATGAGGAGCTCAAGGAGGCAACGTGGTGATGAACCCTATGTGCATAGGCACTGGGGCATAAGCGCACCTCTCTCAGGGGGTCTCATGACCGGGATGGACTGAGGAGAGGTCATGGGGAGCTTGGTTGGCCCAGGGGGGAGGCTGTGAGATCGTCCAATGAGACAAGTGAAGGGCATAGGCTAGGGCAGGGGAGGTGGGCACAGACATGAGGGACATTAGAGAGGTGGTCAGGAGCTCACACTTGACTGTATTTGCAGGTGGGGGGCAGAGATGAGGCCAGGAGGGGAGATGCAAGGATTCTCTTCTGGGCATGGGAGCTGCAGGGAGGAGGCCTGGGGTTCCTGCTGGAGTGGACAGCCTTACTCCTGGCTGAGGCTGGGGTCAGCGATGAGGATGTGGGAAGCACAGTGCTCCAAGGGGACATGGACACCAGGGGCCTCCCACATCCCCCTCTTCCACTGCCGCCACATGGAGTGGGTAAGAGGGCAGAGGAGGAGGAGGGAGGACAGAGAAAGGTGGTGTAGTGGCTTCCTGGACATAGAGTGAACTTGTGACTGACAGCCCAACTGGGGCGCCTCTGCCAGTGCCAGGGGCACCATTGTAATCTCACCAGGACTTACCAGACACGGTCCCCTGCGGGGTCGACGCTTTGTGCTTCTCTCCCTTCTCGGACCCAAAGCGGGGAAGAGACCCCCCTGATAGGATATAGACGACGATGCTGTAGCACTCGCTGGAGGCTTAGCCCCCATCGTAAGCTCTGCCGTATCCCTCAACCGCCCCAGAAAGTGGTGCTGTTGTCACCCTAATCGCACAGACAAGGAAGCCCAGGCACTGGAAAGGTGAGCCACTCCTCCAGGGTGGCACAGCTAGGGACCCACGGTGGCCTGGCCACAGAACCTCTGCTCTTCTCCGGGCGGCTCTGCTGGGAGCTGGCGGCCACACCTGCTCACGCGTCCAGGTGGGCCTGGGAGTCTCAGGATGGGCTGTCGCACCAGTCCTCAGGCCAGACCCACCTTCTCCCTCCTCCCCGTTGACGACATTGGTCCCAGAGGCACGAACACGGACAGTTCCCTGCCCAGAGGCACCTGCAGGCCTGTTGCGGTGTGTGAGTCCATCTGCACCTCCCTGCGTCCAGTCCCCGTCCTATCCACACGTCCCCCAGGGGCTCAGGTCCAGGCCTCTCCCGGCCTCTCTGCTACCCCAGCCACTGTGGCACCCATCACTCCTTGGCCTTGACCCCTGCCCTCCCTCTCAGCTGGATCCTTTCCTCCCCCATCGGGAAGAACCACTGGCCGCAGCTACTCCGTCATCACCTCTGCCATCCACAGCCACACTTCTCACAGCCGCCTCTACCTGCTAAAATTCCTCACCCCCACCTGGTCCTCACCTGCCCCTCTGGCCCCCCGCCTTGCACCCCTGAGCCCACTCACCAAGGACACACACATGGCCTCCCTGCATGAGATGGCACCATGGGCCACTCCTTCCTTCTGTTTAAAAACTTTTATGTATTTAAATCCCTTTATTCTTCTTGCACTGTGTGGATTTGGCCCAGGGCCTCAGGCCAGGTGACAGTTATTTTCTGAGTATTTGAGACCCCTGTGACAATGATGTGTTATTGAGCCCTTACTCTGTGCCAGGCTCTGTTTTTGGCTGTGCCCAGCCGGTAGGCTTGCTGAGGGGCCCCCACAAGAGGCCAGGCCATTGCTCTGGGAGGAGTTCTCTCCCCCTGCCCAAGGAGGGCTGCTGGTGTGGGGGCTGCACTGGGGACAGGGCGTGTCGGGGGCCCCGGCGAGGGGCCACTGCAGGGCTGCCGAGGCCCCTGTGCCCGACGGACAGCCGTCCTGAGGTCCCCGCCTTTCCTCTCTCTGCAGTCTCGAAGCAGCGTGCAGCAGGGGGACCTGGACGGGGCCCGGAGGCTGGGCCGCATGGCCCGGCTGCTCAGCATCACCTTCATCATCATGGGGATCGTCATCATCATCGTGGCGGTGACTGTGAACCTCACAGGTGAGCCCCCTGCCTGGGGCAGAGGCAGGCAGCTTGCCCAATGTGAGCAGCCAGGGGTAGCCTGGCCCCCTGGGGTGGGGAAGCCTAAGAACCCCTGTGGGGACCACAGCCCTATCCCCTCACTCCAGAGAAGGGACCCCAGGGGGGTGGGCTCTCTTCTGCCTGGCAAGCGAATCAACGGGAAAGGCTATGGGGAAAGCACAGGATGGGCGCCTGGGGCCCGCGTCTGGCCTGGCTGAGCCTCAGGGTTTTAACCCAGGCAGTGGCAGGAAGAAGGCTCCCGCCTAGGGGCCAGTGTGAGCATCTCTAGGGCGGCGAGGTCACTGTGCTGTGTAAAGTGTGGCTGGACCTGCCAGAGCACCACGCACGGTGGGGACGGCAGGGAGGAACGCATCTGTGTCACCCAGAGGCGCCTGGTGACGCCATGTGTGCTTGCTTTGCTTTGCCGCCTCCTCCTCCTCCTCCTCCTCCACCACCTCCTCCTCCTCCTCCTCCTCCTTTTCTCTCTCTCTCCCCCCTTCCACCACGATTTACTTTATTTACTTGAAAATCAGAGTGACAAAGGGATAGAGACACACAGAGAGATCTTCTGTCCACTGGTTCACTCCCCAAATGGCTGCAACAACCAGAGATGGGCCAGGCTGAAGCCAGGAGCCATCTTCTGCTGCTTTCCCAGGCACATTAGCAGCCTACACTTGCAGTGGTGCTTACATGGGATGCCGATGGCACAGGTAGCAGCTCAACCTGCTGAGTCACAACGCCAAGCCCCAGGGGAGCCATTTTCCAAGGTGCTCAGCTGCTTGCATAATTGATACGGCTTTGCAAGACTTGGGGCGATCCAGGCCAGAGCCATCCCACACACTCACACTGGGAAGCCCGCTCTGCCCATTTCAGTAGTCCTCCTAAGCTTTTCTCCCAAAGGTTTTGCTGCACGAGCTCAGTGCAGTGGTTAAGGTACTGTTTGGGACGTCTGCATCCCAGGTCAGAGTGCCCAGGTTACAGACCTGGCTCTACTTCTGATTCCAGCTTCCTGCTAATGTGCACCCAGGGAGGCAGCAGGCGATGGCTCAAGTTATTGGGTCCCTGCCATCCATGTGGGAGACTTGGATTGAGTTTTTGGCCTGGGCAGTTGTGGGCATTTGGAGAGTAAAACAGTGGTTGGGAGATTTCTGTGTTGCTTTTTTAAATAGATAAAAATAGGCCGGCGCTGCGGCTCACTAGGCTAATCCTCCGCCTAGCGGCGCCGGCACACCGGGTTCTAGTCCCAGTTGGGGGGCCGGATTCTGTCCCAGTTGCCCCTCTTCCAGGCCAGCTCTCTGCTGTGGCCCGGGAGTGCAGTGGAGGATGGCCCAAGTACTTGGGCCCTGCACCCCATGGGAGACCAGAATAAGTACCTGGCTCCTGCCATTGGATCAGTGCGGTGCGCCGGCCGCAGCGCGCCGGCCACGGTGGCCATTGGAGGGTGAACCAACGGCAAAGGAAGACCTTTCTCTCTCTGTCTCTCTCTCTCACTGTCCACTCTGCCTGTCAAAAAAAAAAAAAAAAAAAGAAAAAAGATAAAAATAAATACATACTGAAAGATTTTGCTCCATGGAGGCAGGTGTTTGGCATATTGCTTAAGACTACAGCAGTGTTGGCATCCCATAGGGGCGCCAGTTCGAATCCTGCTGCTCACGATCTGTCGAGCCTCTACGACAAGAGACTAACGTCTGCGAGACGTCCTTGGGCCCCTGTACCTGCTTGGGAGACCCAGAAGAAACTCCTGGCTCCTGGCTTTGGATTAGCTCGGCTCTGGCCATTGCGGACATCTGGGGAGTGAACCAGCAGATGGAAGACCTCTCTCTCTGCCTCTCTGTAACTCTCTCTGCCTTTCAAATAAATAAATCTTAAAAAAAAAAAAAAAAAAAAAAAAAAAGACTGCTTGGGACACCTGCCTCCCACTCAGAGGGCCTGGGTTCAAGTCCTGGCTCTGCTCCTGGTTCCAGCTCCCTGCTAGTGTGCATCTTGGGGGGCAGCAGGTTCAAGCGGTTGGGTCTTCTGCCACGCGTACGAGTGACCTGAATGAGTTTCAGGCTCCTGGCTTTGGCCTGGCTCAGCCTGAGCCATTTTGTGCATTTGGGGAGTGAACCAGTGGAATGAAGATCCATCTCTCTCTCTCTCTCTCTCTCTCTCTCTCTCTGCTTTTTAAATAAAATAAAGAAAAGTCGCTCCATGGATGCACCCGGGGCCTCACCCGGGACCCTGTTGGAAAGGCAGAGCCTCGGGACTCCGTCCTTCCGGTCGGGGAGGCTCTGGTCTCCAGTGCTCAGAGGGCAGCAGCAAACCTGGGATTCAGCACCGGGACCTAGGGCAAGCTTGGCCACTGGGAGAGAGAGAAGGGTCCAGGCTTGTCATCAGCCTGCCTGGTTTCAAAACCCAGGTCCTCGGCTTTCTTGCTGTGCGGAGTGAGGCCTGTTCCATGAGCTCTCCGAGCCTCAGCCCCTCCTGCCAGCAGCGCGTGGTTGGCGTGCCCTGAGAGGCTGCAGCTCACGAGCCCAGGGCAGGGCCTCGGGTTCCTTCGTCCTGCTGCTGCTTGTCAGCTTAGCCAGGGTTCTCTGGATGGCAGGTGACTGGCACTGAACCAACCACTGGACTCAAATTGAGCTGTACCCAGGTGCTCACGCCACGGCGACGGGACTCTGTCGGGGTGGCTCTGGCCTGGGCAGGATGGCCACCGGCAACTCCAACAGTGGCCCTGACAGTGGCACACATTTTAATCAGCACAGCGACTAAGCAGGAAAGAGAAATACCTTTTTGTTAAAATGGTACTGCAAATGTCCCAGGGCTGATTCTGATTGGCCCCATTAGGGTCACATGCCCACCTCTGAGCCAATCACCAAGCTGCAGTTCTCTCACTGGCTGCAGTTCAGGTCCTCTTTGGTTTGAGCCCCCGCCTCCCCGGCCTGAACCTTATCTCTGTTATCATTTCCCACTAGGAAACAAAAACCCAAATCCTTCAGCCAGGGACTTGACCCAGTGTTCTAAGCTCTGTTTCTTTTCTCTGCAGTTCATAAGAAACAAAACTAAGCAGGCGCCGTGTTAGCAGAGGCAGGCCCTGGCCGGCTGGAGCCTCTGACCCTACGCACCCCCCACACCGCGAGAGGACAGCGCGGTGACTGCCGAGTGACTGTCCCCAAGCTCCAGAGCACACACTCGGAGGGACACCCCCAAGTCACCCCACTGCCAGCCCACATCAGATGGGAAGATCTGGAGGAAGAAAGGAGGGAAGGAAGGAAGGGAAATGGACCGTGCGGCGGCCAGCGCACATGCTGGCTCAACCTCCTGGACACTCCGCAGCGCCTCGACCCCAGTGCCTCGGCTTGTTTCTCATCCCCACAGTTTCCTGGGATCAACCACAAAGCCTCAACTGCCACAAAGAGGGGAAACCAGCCCCTCCCCCAACAAGACCGCCAGGGGTGGGGAAGGGCACGGAGCAGCCCCTCCCCGGCTGCGGGCCAGGAGCAAACACCTGGGACTTCATCTTTTGTATTTTCCTGGAGAGGGGAAGACCAGTTTGTGTCTGCTGAGATCTCAGCCGGTGCCCGGAACTCAGAGGCGGGGACGGAGGCGACAGCCCCTCCTAAGTCCTCCATGGCATGAAGGACACAGAAGCATCTCTGCCAAGGACGCTGACCCCGGTGTGGGCCCCTGGCACGAGCCAGTCAGCTTCTGCTTCCCACCTGCGCTGGAGCCTGGGGCCCAACCTGGCCATGTGGGAAGGGGAGGTCCCTCCACAGCCTGCGGCCAAGCCAGTGATCCCACCCAGAACGGTGCAGGGCCTGGCTCAGGTGGACACGGCTTCAGGCCCCCAGGTCAGCCCCATCGGAGGCTCTGTGTGCGGCCTGGTGTCCCTGGCTGTCCACTAACGCCAAAGGCTTCCCCTGGAGGATGCTTTGGGTTCACCCCCGGGGACCTCCCATGGGCTCCCGGGCCCTTAGGGGCATCTGTGTTGCCTGCTGGGAATTGGGCTGACGCTCTTAGGAAAGTTTGCTGTTTGTTGGGTCTAGAGAGCCCCGAGAGAGAGCAAGGCTTGGCTGAAGGGTCCCTGGGTTTGGGCCTCCGCCCCGGTGCCTGCAGGCAGGGTCTAGGTGCCGGGATCTCTGTCTCAGGGCCCAGGGGACAGCTGAGAGGAGCTGAGCAGAGCATGGGCCTCCCCCTGGTTTTCAGCCCCTCGACACCTGTCTACAGGGGTGCTGGCGGGCATCTCTCTGGGCTGAGGGGTTTGTGTCAGTGCCCAGGCCCCGGGGGGCAAACGCCAACATTCCCTATTCCTAAAGCAGGGTCTGGCTGGGTTTGTTTGCCAGGAGCTTTGAGACCAGAATAGAGACCCTCGCGTCTCATGTGACCTTGGGGTATACTTGTCACTTGTGAGCTCCCTGGAATTGGCCACTCATAGGAGCTGGCTCCAGCAGGAGGGGCCCTGAGCAGTGGCTTCAGCAACCCAGGGACAAACCCTTATGATTCAGGGATGGTCACATGGGGGAACGAGGCAGGCCCGGCTGCAATCTTCCCTCGCCACAGTCCACCCACACAGTAGGCACCCCTGGGTATGCCCTCCCTCCACAGTTGGCACCACTGGATACACCCTCCCCCCAACACTCTTCACACTCAAGACCCCTGCTTGGGTGAAAGCACTCGACAGGCGCCCCAGGGAGCGCTCAGCTGGAACCTTCTCCCACTCAGCAGGAGCAGCCCAGAGGCCCCAGCCTGCGTGGAGGAGCAGAGGAGGAGAGGGAGGCAGGGGCCCGCTGCCCGCAGGCCTCACCAGAGCTGGGAAGGACAGTGGCCCAGCTGCCAGCTGCATGAACACAGGGGTCCCTGGTCGGGGCACTATCCCCTCCCCACCCCATCACCCCAGTGACTCTGCATTTCGTGGCATGGAGAGAAATAAAGCTGAACATACACGCTCACTTCCGGCCTGTGTCTGTGCTGTGGGGTTCAGGGGCCCGGGGTCAGGCTGGGAGCCATGACTGGGGAGCCAGGCACACAGGAGCCACAGCCCACCCAGGCATTCCTCTGGCCAAGTCATTCGTCCTGTCCGGGCCTCAGTTTCCCCAACTGTAAGATGAGTGGGTAACACCAGTCCCATCTTCTCTCAGTTGTTCTTTCTATGTATGAGCGTCCTCCAAAAAGTTCATGGCAAATGGAGTTAAGTTTCTTTGGGTGCAAACAATTTTGTGGGGAGGGTGTTTAACACAGCAGTTAAGATGCCACCGCCTATACTGGAGGGCCTGGGTTCAAGTCCCAGCTCCGCCGCCGATTCCAGCTCCCTGCTAGTGTGCACCCTGGGAGGCAGCGGGGAGGGACATTGTTGAATCTCTGCCTCCCAGCCTCAGCCTGACCCAGCCCCAGTTACTGCAGGCATTTGGGGAGCTCTGTCTTGAAAATAAATTTTAGGCCGGCGCCGTGGCTCACTAGGCTAATCCTCCGCCTTGCGGCGCCGGCACACTGGGTTCTAGTCCCGGTCGGGGCGACGGATTCTGTCCCAGTTGCTCCTCTTCCAGGCCAGCTCTCTGCTGTGGCCCGGGAGTGCAGTGGAGGATGGCCCAAGTGCTTGGGCCCTGCACCCCATGGGAGACCAGGAGAAGCACCTGGCTCCTGCCATCGGATCAGCGCGGTGCGCCAGCCGCGGCGGCCATTGGAGGGTGAAGCAACGCGGCAAAGGAAGACCTTTCTCTCTCTGTCTCTCTCTCTCACTGTCCACTCTGCCTGTCCAAAAAAAAAAAAAAAAAGTGAAAACCACACATCTAAGGGGTCTTCAAAAAGTTCGAGGGCAATGTGTACTGCACCACAATGCCAGCCCCAAGCTTATCTTTTAATTCCATTTCCATGAACTTTTTGCAGCCCCGATCTTAGGCCTGGAGAGAGCAGGGCAGGAAAGCAACCCTGGCTGCCCCGCACATGCTCTGGGCACGTCCCCCACGGATGAATCCACACGCTGTCCACTGCGGCGAGCAGGGTCTTCATCCTGGGTTCACACCAGTGAGCTGAGGCTGAGGCATGCCCGGCACACAGAAGGGGCTGAGCCAGGGCTGGGGAACTGCCCTGGCCCCTACACCTTCCAACCCCAAAGTGAACTTGTGGCCAACACGCCAGGGGAGGATGTGGGGCCCGTTCTGCAGCCCACAGAGAGGTCGCAGGCTGAGGGGCTGTGGGCAGCACGAGGGCAAGAGGCTGGGGTGGGGCGCAGGGCAGGGTGGACATGGGCGGTCAGCTTGGGAGCTGGGACACACTGCTTGGGTTCCAGTCCTGCCTGGCCACTTTAGCTGAGCCTCCTTGGGCAAGTTCCTCGCCCTCTCTGTGCCTCCCTAGATCTGAACATGAGCCTGGGATGAGGCCACCCAGGTAGCTCCCCACCCCCAGTTCAGCTGTCGACTCTGACCCACTTCCCTCTGTGGCCTGTGGCCGGGGAAGACAGGGGGCTGATGCAGGAGGGTCACAGAGACAAAGGCTTGGTCAAGCCTGGGCGCCTCTGCTCCCTGCTCCTCACCCAGCACTGGTCTGGCTGCCATGGCCGAGCCCCTCCCTCCTGGTCCCTACCACGTATGGTGCCGCAACTCTGGGCCTGCCTCCTCAGCTTGCACACGCGGCCCGACAGGTCTGGGCGAGACTTGGCCCACTGCTGCCCCCACCCGGAACCCAGTACTCAGGACCTGACTGGCCACTGTGGCCCTGCTTTGCCAGTTACATAGGGTTAAAGGGGGCAGCAGCACCTGGTTGCCCCCTCTGAAAGGTCAGGAGGTGACCATGAACACAGCCATCCCCTCTCCCGAGCCCGACCCACAGCACCCTCGCTGCACAGTCCCTGCTCTCCTCGTTCCTGGCCCTCCTGCCTGCTTCCCACCCCCTGACCCATGCCGGGGACCAGCCCGAGTGCCCAGGAAGGCAGATCACCCTCCCCGCCCCAAGCCTCTCACACACCGGCTGTGTAGTATTGGGCAGGTCTGTTCATTCCCTGGACTTCAGCCTCTGCACAGCAGGAGTGAGCTGGCCCAGAGGAGGCTGCGCACCTGCCGCACACAAGGACCACCTGAGCTTTACAAACCCCACATCTGGGGCCGGCGATCGGCAGTGGTTACGATGCTGCCTGGGATACCTGCCTCCCGTATCACAGTGCCTGGGTTCGAGTCCCGCATGTGGTCTCCATTCCAGCTCCCGGATAATGCGCACCCTGGGAAGCAGCAGTGATGGCTCAAGTAGTTGGGTCCCTGTTACCCACGTGGGAGAGCTGGGTTGAGTTCCCGGCTCCTGACTTTGACCTGGCCCAGCTCCAGCTATTGCAGGCGCGTGAGGAGTGAAGCAGTGTCTGTCGTCAGGCTGTCCCTTTCTCAAAGAAAAAACGAAACCAAGCAGCTCTGCAGAGCAGCACTTTGGTCCCTGCCCTCTCCAGTGGGTCTCTGCCCTTGACACAGAATGATTTCCCTCCTCTCCTTCCTTCAAGGGTTTCCTGTAACAAACAGAAACTCTGGACGTCTTGCCTTTCGGCAACCCTCCTTGCTTGAGAGGCAGAGGGAGAGGACGCAGGCAACCCAGGTAAGTCGGTGCGGGTGGGGCGTCTCGCAGACAGGCCTGCACTTACTTTTTTAAAATTTCATTTATTTGAAAGGCAGAGTTAGAAAGAGGGAGCGACAGAGATGCCCTATCCACTGGTTCACTCCCCAGATGGCCAGGGTGAAGCCAGGAGCCAGGAGCTTCTTCTGGGTCTCCCACACGGGTGCAGGGGCCCAAGGACTTGGGCCATCTTCTGCTGCTTTCCCAGGCCATAGCAGAGAGCCGGATTGGCAGTGGAGCACCCAGGACCAGAACCGGCGTGCATATGGGATGCTGCCACCAACTGTGACCCGAGGCCTGCACTTTCTAGCATGTTCTCTCATGAGGCCGAGGCCCAGGGGAGAAGGCAGCCCGAGTCAGGACAGGAGGAAGCTGGAGGGTCACAGTGGGTGTGTCCCTAAAGTGCAACTTCTGAGGAATCGTGGACCTTCTGGAACCTTCCCAGGGATGGAGGAAAGCCAAGCAGGTGTGTCAGAGCTGCGTGGATGGGAGCTTCTACTCTAAACCAAAATGAACACCAGGGGCTCTTCTGGGTCCCCATCCCCCGGACCCCAGGCCTGGAGGAGGAAGGAACCTGGAGAAGCTGTGATGTCCCTTGCTGTCCTGTCCTGGGGCAGGAACTCCTCCGTCCACAGCCAGCCCAGCTTCAGACGTGGACTCCTCCAAGCAGAGGAGGTGCAGAAACCACAAGAAGCCCCCTTTCCTTAGGGGTGTTTGTGGCCTCGGGGGCAGGCAGCTGGCCGCCCCAGGCACAGCCCGAGTGCATGCCGCCGGGCTCCAGGAGGGCTGCAGGCGGCCTTCCCCGGCAGAGCCGGCCAGGACCTGCCAGGGCTTCTGCCGCCTGCATTATTCATCTGCTGCCTGGCTGTGGGCGTGAATAATTCATCAGGGAAGGAAGCTCCAAGGATTGCAGGAGGCTTCCCGGCTCCTCCCCAGCCCCGCTCTCACTCAGCCTTTCCTCTTTTTTGCTTAATGGGCTCCCCCTGCTCAGGGCCTGGCAGGCCCAGGAAAGACCTCACAGGTCCACAGGTCTGCAACTGTAGGTGCCCCTCCCCTACCCCAGGCTTCTGGTCGTCTGGGACCTAAGTCCAAACGCCAGGTCGGGTCGCTGGGCCGTTTACCTGCTCTGGGCCTCTGCTGCCTCGGGGGCCACTGGGGGACCTAGGATTAGGAGGCATGAGAAGGACCTGGCATTATTCTGACAGACAGCGTGCACTCAACAAACATCGGCCGCTGTTTTTGAGGATATTTATAATACATGAAGGCTTCCTTCGCTGCGGTTGAGGGCCTTGGAAGGGGGAAGCCGCTGGGGAGCGGACACACCTGTCTGGACGCACCTGCCTGTGCGTGGTCAGAGCGTCAGAGGAGTGGGGGCAGGTGAGGGTGAGTCAGGCTCCAGCCGGGGCCTCTGTGTGTGGGGCTGGCAGGGAGGGGTGGGGCTTCAGGAAGGAGGACGTTGAAAGAACGATCCGGAATCCTACACGGACTCCTCATTAGCTGATTCCTTGATGCTGCACATCTGGTTGAACTACTACTTGCTACTCGGCGCCCACTTACACCTTCTCCCTCCTAGAACCTGGGCTTCCCTTGGGGCATCCGTGTTTGCAGCTCACAAGGCTGTTTCCCAGGCTCCCTTGCAGCGAGGGGGTGGTCACGGGACACAGCTGTGGTGGAAGCGCATTCAGCTGGGCATCCCCAGCTGCCTCTGCAAGCTGTCTACGCAGCGGCAAGGGCAGAGGGGCGTCAGCACACTGTGGGGGGGTCTAAGAAAGAGGAGCAGGCGGTGCTGGCGCCTCCTGGACTGAGGGGGCAGCCAAGCCCCTGCTTCGAGGGCCATTTTCTTGTAGACCGCCTGCCGCGCACTGCTGTGCATTTCTTATTTATTTATTTTTTGACAGGCAGAGTGGACAGTGAGAGAGAGAGACAGAGAGAAAGGTCTTCCTTTGCTGTTGGTTCACCCTCCAATGGCCTCCGTGGCCGGCGTGCTGTGGCCGGCGCACTGCGCTGATCCGATGACAGGAGCCAGGTGCTTCTGGTCTCCCATGGGGTGCAGGGCCCAAGCACTTGGGCCATCCTCCACTGCACTCCCTGGCCACAGCAGAGAGCTGGCCTGGAAGAGGGGCCACCGGGACAGAATCCGGCGCCCCGACCGGGACTAGAACCCGGTGTGCCGGCGCCGCAGGCGGAGGATTAGCCTAGTGAGCCTCAGCGCTGGCATGCTGCGCATTTCTAAAACTCCATGTGAACCTCCATTTGCAATGGCTGCACACTGTGACTCCTCCCACTGCTGGGCATCTAGGTGTCCAGTTTGCCCTCTAAGTTTCACTGGCTGTAACTTTAAAATTATTTATCTGAAACA